GTATAGATATTATATTTTATTTGAATTTTAATTCTCAATACTAGTATTGACCCGTGCGATGCACGGGATGGTATATTTTTATGAATATTTTTTAATATTAACATTAAAGATAATGCACTTTGTAGATATGTAACACATATAAAATGAAAGAAAAAAACAAATATAAAACTTCAAAAATTAATAAACACTTCTTTGTACACAACGTTTTGGGTTGATTTGGTAGCAAGTCATCGTCATTACAGACTAATATCTTCAACCCACTTCGATTGGTGACACGGTAGGCGGCAACATATAATTGCCCGTGACTGAACACTAACTTCTTAAGCAATAAACCAACACGGGACATTGATTGTCCATGGCTCTTGTTGATAGTCATGACATACGAAATCATAACGGGAAATTGTCGCCTCTTGAACTTGAAAGGAATTCTGACATCGGAAGGAGTTATAGCCATTCTAGGAATCAACACCTTCTCGCCTTCATGATCCCCAGTGAGTATCCTACACTAAAGAACATGAGCAGATAGTTTTGTCACAACCAACCGTGTCCCGTTACATAAACTCATAGAATGATCCATATTCCGACAACATGACGGGGGTTCCAATCTTCAAATGCAACTGATGATTTGGAATTCCCGAGCATTTGATGCTATTCAAGAACTCGGGCGTATGGATATCAGAAAGAAAATCATTATTCGAGTCGGACTTGCAAGTACTGACAGAGCTCAAGTACGTATTCAACAATGTCATGTATTCATTGATGGACTCAACAACATCAAGAGTCGGTGCTAATATTGTCATGTCATTCAAATAACTGGGATCATCGGTTGTCTGCTTAAACATTGGATACGTGCTTTTTACAATTTGAGCAATCGGATCATCGGATGGTTGAAACAATATAATATGTCAATCATTGCACAACCATCATTTGACCCTCCTATAGTTCCATCACTAATGCTCGCAATCCATTCAACGAACCGAGCAACATCTTCACGTTCCTTAGAATCTTTAAAACTCTGTAGACGCATGTTCTTTGTAAGCCTGAGCACAGTACAACTCCGCCAGATATGGATTTTGTTAATATTTAAATTTTTTAAACAATTCGAATCAAATTCCCTTTATAAAAACATATTAATTTAATTTAAAAATTAAAAAAATAAATTAATTCAATTGCAAATATAAATAGAAAAACATAAATAGAATAGCCAAATGTCATAGAGATTGAAGTAAACAGAAAAAAAAAAAAAAAANNAACATCACAAGCACTAATATAGTAGAAAAATTGAAAATGCAACAAATTAACACTTGAAATAAATTGAAGTAATTATTTAGTCCCAACATCCTCTTAAGAACTCTCCATCGCAATCTTGTTGTTGGTGACATACATATTCGGCTTGTACCATTTGCTACTTGAAAATCTATATATTCAATTTTATAACATATATTCAAAATTACATAAATTAAATATCAGTTTGATACTTGAAAAGTTATACATAAAATAATACAATATATATACAACATTACAAATATTTTACAAAAGTGTCAATTGTTCGAGAACACTTACTTTGTACGAAAATCTAAAATTCCGGGATATTAGCAACAAAAAGACGTGTGACATTCAGAAATGAACTCAATTGATACTCACATGTTGCAAAATAATATATATTAATTTGCAATCAAAACTATATATATTGATATTTAATCTTTTGTATATAGATATAAATAAATAAAAAATTATAAATACCTGTAATCTTTTGTTGTCTTGTCCTACATAATTGCATGATGAGAGCCCATGGTTTTCCATTGTCCGCAGATTGGAAGTGATTTTCACAATAAATAAACTCGTGAACATAATCACCCCAAAGTTCGAAACGCATCACTAATTCACTATTTAGTTAAAAAAACAAAATTTAATATTAAATTTTAAACACATTTTACAAATATATAATTCATGTACTATATATATTACTTACTCCAAATCCATCATCGAAAAAGTGATCATTTGCTTTTTTTCTCCATTTATCCAGTCTAAATGAATGGGTCGAACTTCAACGACCATACCAATAGCATCTACAATATATATTAATAGAAAAAATAAATACTATTTTATTGATTAATATATCAACAATAAAAAATTAAATTTGAAAAAAAAAATCGAATCCACAATAAATAATAAATTAAAGATTTACCATAAAGGATTGACTCGTCCACAATGTCATCATTTTGAAGAAATGCAAAACTACGGAAGTCGAATTGCCATGTAGGGAAATTAGATAGCACGTGAAGGACCTCAGTATCCCCACTAATTATAACTTTGTAGTCTACATTAGTAGATCGAAATTTACCAACGTTTATCTTTAGTTGGTAGTTGCTAAATATGTAGACGCCACCCTCCTCAAGCAACCCAGCAAATATGGGCAGACCACGAACTATACCAGTTATACGTGATCCCT